GTCCTGGTTTGGGACTCATCAGTGACAGGGTGCATACACGAATCCTCCGTCCGACCTCGGTGTTAATCTCTAACTCTGACCAATCTAGGGATGTTGCACGAGCTCACCCATTTTCTTCAGTAGTGATTGCCTGCATCCGACAGGGTTGAACTCCCCTGGTCACATCTTCTCACTAGAACTCTGAGAATTTCCTCACGAAGCTAGTCGCTAGTGAGCACATTTTACGATTTTTTCAATTAGAGTTATAGAGATCAGTGTTTGACACGTTGAAATCATCAGTGAATCCTGCGATGTTTAGGATTCATGGATGCGCACTATCACTCGTCAGTCTCATACCAAGACCAAACCGTCTTCCAGTAGTTCTTCCAGGTTTCTAATGGTGGTCTAACATTGATTGATTGATGATTTCTGTGAGTAACTTAACAAGCTCCGACTAGCTAATAGTAAATGCTAACCAGGAAAGAAAATTCTCTGATCGGTGGCCTGTGCAGCATTAGCAGAACAGGCGTAAGTAAGTTAGTAAGTGCATAAGTAAGTAAGTAAGTAAGTAAGTAAGTAAGTAAGTAAGTAAGTAAATAGGTAGGTAGGTAGGTAGGTAGGTAGGTAGGTAGTCAGGTAATGATCGTCAAGCACTGAGATTCAAAGACACTTATCAGACAAGTCTTGAAAAGAGCGGAACACGTATCTTGAATTCCTACAAATGAATGAGGTCACGCGAAATCCCTAGATTGATCAGAGTTAGATATTAATAGCGGGCGGTCGAATATTCTAGAACGTTAGGCGATTGTGCACAAGACCCGTAAGTCCTGGGTTCAAATCTAGGTAGTGCGCCGTCACTGATGAGCAGTCCCATACACTAGGACAAAACTGCTATCTATCATCCAGTGACGCCAGGTTTTCTTCGTGGTAGACTATCTAAACACAATAATATTGATAAACAGCAACCGTCATAACTCTAAAATGTAAAAATATTTCTGATTTTTTCTTGTGCAGAAATATTTCACATCTTTTATTTGTAAAAAACTATTATGCAAAAGACCATATTAAGAGTAGCCTACAACGGATGCAATTAACAATTTGTAATTTACCAGACAAATATGTAGTCCGATTCGAGGTCATATAAAATAGAATATAACCAAAAAGATACTACTTATATATATCTATCTATATTATTGAATAATTGAATTTTATTTTAATATAAAGCCAACAAAATACTTACACAGTTTGTGCAAACAATAAAAATACACTTTGGGTTGATACTGTTTTTTGGCACTTCACAATGAATATTATTAATGTTAACTGTGTTGTGTTAAAAATGTTGCCAAATGCATTTTTACTAAAAGGTGTTCAATAAATATAATATGTACAAACTATGCCTGGATCTATTTTATTCTTCTAAAAAGGTGTTTTGTTACTGTTGGATAAAGTGTACTCAAGTGACAACAGAGTAAAGAGTGAATTTTGTAGAGTACGTGTATACTGTATTGGTCGGAGAGCATGCAGTCATTGTATGTAACCTAGTTGTCGATGTTAGTTGAACTGTCTCAGAACTGAGTACAGATGCGTTCAATGCCTGGTTTCTATCAGATGAGTTGTTAAATCTTAAGTTGTGAAAGAGGATAAAGAAGGAGGGTTGGGCATAGGGTTAGCAATCCCAGCCTGTCACAACTAAGAACAAACATTCATATGATTTTCATTACAGAGTTGTGAAGATTGGTGAGTTTCATTGAAATCATGTATCAAGCACTGTTAGACTACGATTAGAAGCTTCGAAGCACTGGACGGTCGTTTCGTCCTACTCTATGGGACACATCAGTGACAGGGCTTATCTACGATCCTGGCTTGCAGGACTCAAACCAAGTACTTTCGAACTCGCGCGAGCGCGAATGCTTAACCTCTAGAGCACTAAAATCGCATCCAATGGTGTTAATGTCTAACTTTAATAAATCCAAGGTTCACTTATATGATTATTATTATTATTATTAAAATCATGAATGAATTATTGTTAGACCAGTATTAGAAACCTGGAAGCACTGAACGGCTGTTTCGTCCTTTTATGGCAATCATCAGTAGTACGTATGATTTCAATGTAAAACACTGATCTCCATAATACTATAACGCAAACCTCAAAAATGTGCACAGTAGTGACTGGCCAACTGGATTCGTGAGGAAATTCTCGGAGTTCTAGTGAGAAATCATGACCCTATCGAGTGTAGGCAGTAACTACCGAAAACAATGGATGGAGTTGCGCAAAATTTCTTAAATTGACCGAAATTAGATTATTAACACCGTTGGATGACGGCTCGTTGGTTGATAGGTTAAGCGTTCGCATGCAAGACCGAAGGCTCAGGGTTCGAATCCTGTGAGTCGCGGCATTCATTGGTGCTAGTGAGTCACATATACTTCACTTACAATGCTTTCAGCTTTCTTTCTTAATGGTAGTCTAACAATGATAGATTCGTTGTTTTAACGTGTAAATGCCAACGATCCCATTATGAAAATTAGAACAACACATGGAAGTGAACAAGATTGTCGTCTTAAACTAGAACGAGACTGCCATCCTGTGCTTCCAAGTTTCTCCAATGGTACTCTAACAATGATTCATTCATGATTTCAAAAAAAGTAACTGCACAATCTCCATAACTCTATGATGAAGAATATTTTATAATTTGTAAATAGAGTTTGAATAATTTTGTCACAACAATTCCTAGTAACAATAAAACACAACAAAACTGGTAGGATATTCATTCAATATCCTAAGAGAATCATTTTTGTTAGTCTAATTCTATTGGCCAATTCCTACTGGTCAATATTATGGTCGTCCTAGATATCAATGTCACATACTTCAAATGTCGTTTCCTAATCGACCCAACTGTAAAAATACAGGTTATCCGTAACGTATTATGACCCGGACCCGGATCCGTAGTCTGGTGTGCTTATCCTATCTGGACTTGAACCTGGATGCTTGCAGAATACAGGTTCTACTTCATATCAAGTCTTCTCCTTTTACTCAATGGGAGCATGGAACAATCGGATTCGAGTAGCCCATCATATCGCCGAATCCTCGATCCTCGCTCTCACTTTCTGACTGAGGTAAACTCGTAATAGTTCAAGCATATCAAAATGACATGTCTGCGTACATGCGCAACAAAAAACAAGACCAAAATAATACTTTACACATTGATAACATGAACATTTATTATTGTCAATCAATCAATACACTAATATAAATATCATTCACATGTATGTCTGTTTTATTCAAATTTGTTGAGTTTTTATGCTTTAAAAAACTAAATACAAATGTGATTTCACTTGAAATAATCATATTTATTGAAATCATTATTGTCCCCAGAATTAATCCACATAGAAAATGTTGATTATCTTGAAAAGTGAATCGTTTATCACCGGGAAAAATTGCTTGAGTTCCTATTAATAATTCCTGAAATCAATCAATAAATCTTTATTCATAATAGAGATTAATATTCTTTTTTTACAAATGAAATCCCTAGATTGATCAGATGTTAGACAATCAGTACCGCTGAATTTCTGGCCAAGTAGTTCAGAGGTGAGACGTTGGCGCGCAAGGCTGAAGGTCTTGTGTTCGGATCCAGAGAGTAGAAGGAAGCGCGGATGAACAGTGTCACTGATGAGTCCCATACCAGGACGAAACGGTCGTCGTCTGGTAGTGCTTCCGGGTTTCTCTTATGATAGTCTAACAACCATTCATTCATAACTTCAACGTAAAATAACAATCTCCATAATCGTACAATCCAGTCAAGTAGACTTTCTGTTTTGCTCTTATCATATTGTTCAAGTAGCTAGTTTTGAGCAGTGGGATATCTTTAAAGGATTTTAGTGTTACGTTTACACACATGTCATATATGTCATGTTGTATTCAGTAATCCATTGAATAAGGACTGAATTCAGATAGCCGTCGATTTATGCAACAATTACGAACAATATTTTTTTTTAAATCATATTTAAAGCTTATATTTTTGCAGGTTGTTAGTATTACTACTACTAATAATAGTATGAATTGTACTCGTTAAACATGTTTTTCGAGTTATCATCAGTCCGTCAGTTACAATGGAGAACTTCGTGCGTACGTACATAAGTTCTGGTTACCATACCATATTAACATACAGAGATAGAATTGTCAGTTCAAATCCAATAGTGGTAGAGATAGTAGAGGTATTACTGGTAATGGAGAAGATTATGGAGCGAAGATATGATTCGATAAGTGTAATTCAGTGAGATAAATTTAGAAAGGGAAAGAGAGAGGTGATGAGGAATTCAGAAGTTTAGGATTTGAGATGGATGCACCCGCACCATTACAAACGATTTTGAACCATGTTATTCAATGTCTCTAACTATCAGTTACTGTCGTCTCGCGGACCCTAATAAGGTGGACTGCACTCACCAGTTCACTCACTCAGTTCACTTGTCAGTGACTTCATGGATTTGTGCCATGTTTTGATTTGGCCGCCCCTCAGGTTATCATCACTGTGTATTGAAATGTTTGAAAACAACACATTGACATTTGAATCAATAGGCACTAAATTCAAATCTCTATGTGAATATCCGATCCAAATAGTTCAAAACACATTGTGAATTTCATAACAATTCAGCCATCAGTGCATATTCTGACAACAGAGACAACAAAGTTTCTGTTAAGAATGCATGTGACCACGTCAATTTAATATGCTTGAACTATTACGAGTTCATGTTAGTCAGTGAATGAGAGTCAGGATCGAGGATCCAGCGACAAGGTCCGAGTCCAGAAGAGGATAAGCACTACGGACTGAGAAACCAGGAGTATGTGACATTAATAGTTAGGACGACCAATCGGAATTAACCGACAGAATTACACTTACAAATTAAATTCTCTTAGGATATTGGATGAATAATGTTTTAACAGTTTCGAATGTTGAAATTAAACAAAAAACGCCATATTAATAGTAATAGTAAATATTTAGAGGATACACACTTAAATGACTTACATATAATATTGTTAATAACATGCCTGATCCAGAAATAATGAACTGCATCTATTTGATACAAACATTAATAATAATAATAATAATAATAATAATAATAAATTGTTATTTCTCTAGATGAGAGAAGTGTAGATCTAATTGTTAGACTACTGAATTAGAAATCTGTGTTGCCTAGTGTAGGCAGTGACTACAGAAGAGAATGGGTGAGGTTTCGCAAAAGCCTTCGATTTATCAGAGTTAGACATTAACGCCGTTGGATGCCGGTCCATTGGTCCAGAGGTTAGGCGTTCGCGTGCTAGTCCGAAGGTCCTACGTTCGAGTCATGTGGGGTGCAGGGTTGGTGGATGAGCCGATGAGTCCCATACCAGGATGAAACGGCCGTGGTCCAATGCTTCCAGATTTCTAATGGTGGTCTAACAACATGATTGGTTGATGATTTCAACGTGTAATAATCATTTTCTTCATAGTTTGAATCATGAACTGATTTAAACCACTAAACCACCGTTAGAAAGCTGAAATCATTGAACGACCGTTCCATTCTGTTATGAGACTCCTCAACAGTGTGTATCCACGACCACCGCACACATGAATCGAAACCAGGAGTTTTTGGTCTTGTGTGTGAACACTCAACATTCTAGATCACTGGACCGAAATCCACCGGTGTGAATTTTCAACTTCCAGGACATTATGGGACCTTATGCAATACAGTTCAACTATATTGGGTAGGAAGCATTGACCTAAAGAAGACAATCAATGTTGGTAACGCAATATCATGAACTGTTTGAAGTTAAACATCAGTTAACTCCGTGCACACCAGAAGTTTCTAAAAATAGCCTGCTAAAATCTATTGTTCTTAGGGGTTGATTACAACCCATTAAGATAGCTAAAAGTCAAACGGAACAATCATTTCAAAAGTTGTATTGAAAAGAATACATTTTCAGTTTACAGTTGAGTAGATTGGATGCTGACTCAGTGGTCTAGACACTAGATCGAAGGTCTTAGGTTCGATTCCCGTGTAAGCGGAGGGGTTGGTCGTGGCTGCGTACTGCTGACGACTCCCATGTACTAGGACACGGAACTGCTGTACAATTATTCCAAGTTTTCACTTTCACATTCATCGATTCACGACATCAACGTCAATGAAACACAACACTCTTCAAAATCTTATCCTATCAATCAAGACAATCAAAATAATAATAATAATAATATCAATCTCACTCAAACAAATAAAATCTTACTTACATCAATTTGAATATAACTTTTTAATAGAAGAATTATCATAGAAACCAATACTTGTAAACTGGTTACACTAGTAAAAAATATTCTCAACGATATTGTTATATTGAATCGTATTAATTTGCCAAACATTAAAATCATCAAAGTTAACGCTAATGTCACAGTCCAACTAATTAACATCCATGCGAATGTTGTCAATGAGAATGTTTCCAATCCACAGAATGACCTTGACGCTGGAAATGAAATGATCATTGACTACTGAACGAAAATAAACAAATTAATCGGTCAATAAATAATATTCACGAGAAAGATCATCATTCAAAATGATCATTTACATTATTTTGATTAAATGTCATAGATAATGTGATGATATTTCATAGAATAATGATCGACAATAAACTTTTGTTCATCTGAATGTTTTACTGTGCTGTTTGTTTGATTCACACTGATTTGAATAAACATATTATACATGTAAGTGGATAATATTGTTTTCAGTTTGAGTTATGAAGATTAGAGTTTTTACATGTTGAAATCTTCAATCAATCATTGCTAGACGACCACCGCTAGAAATGTGGAAGCTCTACTAAACGGCCGTTTTGTTCTGGTATGGGACTCATCGGTGGGAGTGCGCATCCACGACTCCTGCACCTCGCAGGATTCGAACCTAATGATTGACTGATGGTTTCAACGTGTAAAAACACCAACCTCCATAACTCTAATTTAAAAAATTGTACAGTGTGCTCACTAGTGATTAGATTCGTGAAGAAATGCTCCGAGCTCTGTCGCGAAGTCATGTGATCAGTGAACTTCAACCCTGTTGGGTGTAGGCAGTATCTACTGAAGACAAATAGATGAGGTTGCTCAAAATCCCTAGACTGATCAAAATTAGATATTAATACCTGCTGGCTCAGTGTTCCAGAGGTTAAGCGTTCAGGTGCAGGAGTTGTGGATGTGCACTGTCATTGGTGAGTCCCATACCAGGACGAAACGACCTTCTTCTTCCAGTAGTGCTTCCATGTTTGTAATACGGGTTAGTCTAACCATTACATCTTTATCAGACTTTACTCTTTATCGTGATACACTAATATTTAAATGTTTCCAGTGTTAAGGCCTCTGATTTATGTATAATTAGGTGTTAGCATTTCAAAAGTTTATTCCATGAAACTAAAATTGAGCATTGAATGGTAAATTACACTGTCAGTTACTCGTCGACTTACTGACGATTGTCAACTATTATTACAAGATATATAATCAGTTTTTCCTATTGAGACTTCCTTCAATCGCCTAACGTCCGTAATAAGGTTAATTTCACATACAACCAACTAAGTATTCCGAATGAAAATGTCGCAGAAAATTCTGGGACCTGATAAAAATAATAATCTAAATGCTTTTTAGTCGTTCAACTAATTAAGATAACTCAAGACCTTTAGTCTGACACGCGTACGCTTAACTTCTCGACGACTGAGTCGGTGTATCCAACGGTGTTAATATCTGACTTCACTCAATCCATAGTATTGTGCAGCTTCATCCACTGTCTTCGGTTAGTACCCACCTCACACAAAAACACTGTTGAATTCCACTACCCACAGCTTCCCATCGCAACTTCAAGAGTTTACTCACAAACATAGTCACTAATGAGTATATGATAAGTTTGGTTGTGAGGATTATTTTAGTTTCATTGAAATCAGTTACGCAAAGTGCTGGATCGGATTCCTGCAAGGGGGTCATTGAATGCACACTGCTGATGAATTCCATATACCGTGACGAGACGGCCACACAGCGCCTCCAGGTTTCTAATAGTGATCACAAGGGTGGGTAAACAGTCATTCTCCAATCAACCAACGATTTCGTTGCGCTTAGAATTGTCGAATAACCATTACAACTTTAACACATACATGCTATCAGATTATAATTCAAAATCAATCAGTTAATTATTTCATGATTAATATTTATGAAAATATTTTTCTTATCCTAAAATTACTTACATTAATTGCCATTAGAATGTAGTTGAATGGAGTGATAAATTGTACTTGTGGTATTAACATCATTTCCAAATCAATAAACAGTCCAGAAAAACTGTGATGTTTGTAAAAAAAGCAAATATACGTTGAAATGCATTTATACTTGGAAACTATCACAATAAGCAACATGAAATTCACATCATGCTGTTCAAATATATATAATAAATATCCTGAAGAAATAATAACCGATTTTTTAAACATCGAGTCGGAGACATACACTACACTGGGGAGCAACAGACGTCAGAAAATAAGTAAGTAAGTAAGTAAGTAAGTAAGTAAGTAAGTAAGTAGGTAAGTAAGTAAGTAAGTAAGTAAGTAATTAGGTAGGTAAGTAAGTAAGTAAGTAAGTAAGTAAGTAAGTAAGTAAGTAAGTAAGTAAGTAAGTAAGTAAGTAAGTAAGTTAGTTAGTTAGTTAGTTAGTTAGTTAGTTAGTGAGTAATATTTCAACGGTATGATGAAGAGTTATCCATTCAAAAACACTTGATATAATGGTTAACTTATATTACAGACTGAATGGTTGCAAATGTGAGCAAGTGGTTTGCGACTAATTCGTCTGAGGTTTAATGAATGCCAGTGAAATAGGGGTTGTGTTTTCCGTGTTACATTCATTTAGCACCTATAATATTACGTTTTAATTTATACTACTTACTAATTAAAAGTAGTTTAAAGTGTATTCAATTGTTTAATTGCTCTGTTTACTGTAATTATTATTTTATTATTTATACACCATAACTGATAGGAAGGGGCACCTTGACCTACAGGTCTAACCCAAAGGATTGCAAATGGAGCCTTATAGTGTTTGGTGACGATATTTGTTTCCTCAAAATCTTAGAGCCTATCTTCACTATCGCTTTGCATCCAGGATTGTCCAATCGTCGTAGGTGTATCTTGCGTATCGAACACCAACCCGGTTCAATGTCCTGCCAGGCGCTCGCCTTTCGTCTTCTCGATTTCGAGAACAAGATACGTGCCACGAGTGCGTATGTGCATGCTTACTTCACTTATCACATGTCTGGCTAACTTTTTATCGCATGGAGTTGGTTCGCTCGCCCTTACCGCTTCATTTATACTTTGCTTTTACTCTTTGTATTCTCATGCCTGTTTCCGTGAACGATTAGATGAAACAAATTCATCTGCACAATCTTATTACCGGCATGGCATAAACAAGGTTTGTCCAAGTATGATTTAACGGAAACTAAAAGGAGAATATTTATTTGTTCATAGCGCGTTTAGTTATTCGTAAATATTGAAATCAGATCAGGGGCAATTTTAAGTGATGAGATGCACTTCGAGTTTAACGAAGTCACAAAAAATTTATATCCTGCAAATCATGAGTTGATCAATGTTAGACTACCTTATTAGAAACATGAAAGCACTAGATGGTTATTTCTTCCTTGTATGTGGGACTCATCAGTGACAGTGCTCATCCACGATTCCCGCTACCGACAGGACTCAAACCCAAGACCTTCGATCGTGCCCACGAACGCTTAACCTTTAGACCACTGAGCCAACTGGCATCTAATCTTAATGTTAATGTCTAACTTTGATCAACCTAAGGATTTTCGCCCAACCGCATTCAATTATAACCTCAAAAAACACAAAACAGGTTTAAAAAAACTATACAATTTTAAAAACTTACAAAAACATCCAAATAAACCAATCATGCGTTTGCAACCAACTGCTCAGTGGACTACTTTTGTATCATTAAAAGAAACAGAATTATTTGATGATTACATGTTCAAAATTCAATTCCAAAACAACTTACATGAACAGTATAATACAATTCATAATCCAAATGATGAGTAGTTGTAAGAAAATAATACCAAAAGTCTTATCAATTAGAGAGATTTAATCAAACACAGTGTAAAGTACAAATTGAATTTACCTTATAATAAAATTTATCACCAGTCAATCGTCCGAATGATTCATTGTTGGTGATTGGAATATTGAGATTCGATTCGTATAGGCATTCAGTCACTGGTTGCTTAGCTAGAAAAAAATTAACGTGATTTTCGTGTGTGAATAAAGAGAAGAGTCAGTTGAAATTCATGACAATCAATCATTGTGTAGACTAAAGCTCATAGGTTCGAATCCTGCAAGATGTAGGAGTCGTGGATGTGTACTGTCATTGATGAGTAAGTTCCATACACAGACGAAACGGTCGTCGTTCAGTCAACGATCTCCATAATACTATTATGCAGGAGAGTATACGGTTGTAGTTCAGAGTTTGTTGCCCTAAGAATTGAAGACTTTGACAGGTGCAAATACTCGAAATAATAATGCAATGATATCGGGCACACAGTGTAGACATGATGTGATTCTTTCAAAATCATCAACAAACAAAACTAGTTCAAATTGACGAGATAGTAGTTGTTTAAAAACCTTAAACCTTGATTTTTGTGTCTAAAAAAATAGAAAGTGATCAATTTGTTCGTCCTGTGGTAATTTTTCATTTTAAAGTTAGGGAAATGTTTGTTTGTTGTTGAAAGCATGAAACAATCATTGTTAGACTATCATTAGAAACTGGGAAACACTGCACGGCCATTTCTTCCTAGTATATGGGACTCATCATTGACAGTGTGCATCCACAACTCCTGCACCTCACAGGATTCGAAGTCAAGGACTTTCGGTCTAGCGCGCGAAAGCCTAACCTTGAAATCACTCATCTGGCTGGCGTTCAACTGTATTAATGTCTAACTTTGATGAACATTGGGATTTTTTGTGACCTCTTACATTTGTCTTCGGTAGTTAGTGGCTACATCCAACAGCGTTGAACACCACTGGTCACGTCTTCTCACTAGAACTCGGAGAATTTCCTCATAAGGTAATCACTAGTAAGCATATTTTAGAATTTTTCATGACACAACTGATAGAGACTGTTCGTCATTACTGAAACATCACTAGTAATTTTGGTAAATACGTCATTACTTTTAGTTTTATTTGCATTGACTTTGTTATATAATCATTGTTAAATTAATTCCTAACCTTGTGATTCAATCGTTCTGTTCAAACGTTGCATAAATCCCCTGCCAAAATCTTACTTACTTATTACGTAACCCTGCCAATACTACTAACAATCGATCTGAATTCATGTCTTACCTTTGTTTTCTATATTTGAACCTAATCATCTTGCAATGACCTCAATCTGATGCGTACACCTAGTAATCTTGACTACTTCTTTCATTTACTTCTCTTATCACATCATCAGTGTCTCAACTACACACTGTTTGTTACACTGTATGTATTACACTCACTGATTTGATTGTACACAGAGTTGATACGAAACTATATGAATTACAAAAAACAATGTCATCATTTGTATTTTCCCACACCTTTCATATTATCAATTAAAACAATCACATTGTAAAAACATTGAACAATTAACAACATTCAAATTACTTACTTACTTACTCTTCATTGTAACAACAATCAAATGAATTCAGATAATGAACACTTTTCAATATTAGCAGTAGTAATAACAAGTATATGAGTTAAACTGTGCAGAATTTATATCATAGCGTACGTGTACTATGTGATCTATTTGTTCATCAGTGATGATGATCTTTGTACTACTACTCTGATGCGATCGATCGATAAAATTCACGTGAATTCGATTGGCTTTGTTTGTGTTTTTTTCAAAAAAACAATTTGAATAATCATTTAGACGATAATCATTAATCAATATGCCTGAGAAATGATTAGTTAGATCAGTGTTGATCTATATCTGTGCGTAAGTTACTGACTAACTTACTTACGCCTGTTTCGATGAATGAAGCATAGGCTGTCAGCGAATATTCGCCAACCTATTCTGTCCTATGCCTTCCATTCCAGTTCTATCCAATCAATGTGCATTCTTCTCATGTCTATCTTCAATACTCTGTGTAATGTGTCCTATATTCTTCCTCTTTTCCTCTTACCTTGGGTACTTCATGTGAGGAGTTGTCTTGTGTCACAACTGGATGCTTTCCTCAATGTATTCCCTATTCACTTCCATCGTTTCTCCTTAAATTTCGGCATAAGCTGGAATCTGTTTCGTTCTCGCCCACAATAGGATGTTGGTGATTGTGTCTGGCCAACGGTGCTTTTGTGTTTCTTTGGACAGCATCACAGTGCAACTCCTTGTGTGTGTGTGTGTGTGCGTGTGTGAGGTATTTTCTTCTTCATGACGGGGTACAGCGGAATCTTTTTTGTCCAATCTGCATCCAATGTGTTTCACTGATTCCAAGCATCACCCAGATTGTATCTTTTCATTTCCACAGAAACTTGGATGACTATCCCGATCTACCACATTGAACAAACATTCCATGTGCCTAAATTAATGGTTGCTCAGATTGTCAGGAGGGGTCTAACATTGATTGATTCATGGTTTCAATAATGTATAATATTTTTTGCTAGTTGGTGGGGGCTACTAACTCCATGGTCAGCCCTGCTCTTTTATCCGAGCTTTGGATCAGCAGCAATTCCAGAAAGGGCACAGGCTGAGTTTGACCTCTTGTATATCAATCATATATTTACACAGAGTATTCTTGTAGTAAGGTACAGAAAAGTAAAGCCTTGAAACTGTTTATATGTTGAACATTATATTATAGTAGGAGACGTGGATTCTCACTGTCACTGATGAGTAGTCCGATACCAAGACAAAACGGTCGCCCAATAGTGCTCTTCCAGATTTCTATTGATGGTCTAACAATGATTCATGCATAATTTCAAGATAAAACAACAATCTCCATAATACTCGATAATGCGTTATTCTATAACTCTTCCAAAGATCTCACGCTGGCTTTAGATCTAGTTGCTATCCATTTATTCCTCGATTACATGTAAGTGCATTATTCTATGCACTTACTGAGTCGTTGGCTCATCTTTTTCTCTTGTTCTTTCTTCTTCTTGGGCTGGGCGCCAGATAATAAATAAGCTGTCCTGTTGTTGTTTGTGTGATTAGTTTATGTGCGGTCTCTGAAATTTTGGTCATACCGTAATTATAACGCATTCGAAACCTTACTCTATCGACTCCTAGTTTCGTTTATCAGTGTGTCTTAATCTCAAGGTGGCTTTATATCTAGTTGCTGTCTATTTATTCCTCGATTGCATGTAAGTGCATTATTCTATGTGCTTACTGAGTCGTTGGCTCATCTTTTTCCCTTGTTCTTTCTTCTTCCAGATAATCTCATACGCTACTCCTCACACAAGGTACTTCTGGGGTGAACGAAAACCAACCACAGGTTGAAGTTACATCATTAACGCAAGCATAACAGTGGCGACGAGGTCTATAGAATTATGGATTCTGTAAAAGTAGAATTATTGTTGACATAGAAGCTTTGAAAGATGTAAACACCTTTACGTATCCGAGCAACATCACTGATGAACGAGGTGGATCTGATGTAGATGTGAAGGTGAGCATTGGCAAAGCGCGGACTCCATATCTACAATTGGAAAACATCTGGAGCTCGAAACAACTATCAACCAATACCAAAGTCATAATTTTCAATGCAAATGTCAAGATATTTCTATCGTATGGGGCGGAAACTTGGAGAACTACCAAAGCCATCATCCAGAAGATACAAGTGTTCATTAACAGTTGTCTACGCAAAATACTTCACATCTGCTGGCAAGACACTATCGGCAACAATCTACTGTAGCAGAGAACAAACCATATTCCAGTGGATGGAGAAATCAAGAAGAAGCGCTGAAAGTGGATAGGACACACACTGAGAAAAGCACCTAACTGCCTCACGAGACAAGCCCTCACTTGGAACCCTCAAGGTAAAAGGAAAAGAGGAAGGTGAAGGAACTCATTACGCCGAGAAATAGAGAAAGATATGAGAAGAATGAACAAAAATTGGACAGAACTAGAAAGGAAGACGGAGGACAGTGTAGATTGGTGGTAACAGGCATAAGTAAGTGAATAAGTATTTAGAAGCTTTTATACGACTGGAGATTTACACTGCTAACAGACCATAAGCCGATGTTCACCATTTTTTGTCCGAAATCTGACATCTCAGATCATTCTACAAATCATATACAACTCTGTACAGTGGTCCTTTTGGGACATGATATAGATATTCACTACCGTCACACCTAATGTTTTATTCAGGCAGATACCTAGTCATAATAAATCCGTGAACATCCCACAGCAGAGGAAGACACGGTTTTCGCTTCTCGCTCAACAAATGACGATGTAGCATGTTATTTGATGAATGCTATTCGTACTTTCACAGTTTCAGAATCAGAAACTCAGCACGCCTACAGCAGCGACCTAATCATAAAGAAAACGGTGGACTACGTCACTAAAGGGTGGCTGTCTACTGTCTTTAAGGGTTACGTGAAACAACTCTACGTTCGTCGAGACTCATTGTGCATCATAGACGAATGTTGGATGTTGGAAAAGAGAGTGATTGTGCCAAAACCTCTACAGTTAAAGGTAGTGGAGTAGTTTCACCTAATTATATCTTAAGTCTGGCGATCATATCATGTTTTAACAAAAATATCGAATGTTCTTGTCCGATTTGGGGTTTCTGATCACTGATGATTTGTATGGGTAATGGATTGTACAGCGAAATTCATAGAAGGTTATTTGTATGCATAATTTTAGTGAAACATTTTTGGTTTTGAGAAAATCGTGTAAAAATCGATGACAATGAAGGTGTACCTAGGAAATACATAAATTTGTACAAGCTCTCTACTCGAACACCACCAGTGAACTGTCATCGGAATTGATGACCTTGAGTGGTGTTCGTCAGTGCTGTTCAAATTTCTCCATTCTTATTGAACTTTGTCACAGATATGCTTCACAAGATGACACTGTCATAGTCTGAATTCTCAGGAGTTGACATTCTACCAAGAGGCACGTTTGTTGACTGAGAATATGCCAACAATATAGTCCTGTTTGGTGAAGACGCTGACAAAATGCATAGTCTTTAGAGTCTTTAGGGGTGTGGATCACTCCCTCAAAATGCGAAATGCTGCTTCGATCTCTGTGTACTAATGTGGTATAGCAACTGGACATGATGTACGTACGTACAAAATTCTACATTTTAGCTGACTGTTTGATTGAAAATGAAGAAGAGGTGACTGAACAACCGAACCATTCACTACATCCAGAAATGGTATTTAACAATGGAAATTAAAATAGAACAAGTGTATTGTTATAAATTGGCAGAATTTTAAATGGCTTGGTACTAATGTAACCCAATTAGAATACAAGTTTAACCAAATCGATTTCTTAAAATATCACATTTCTAATATAATTTGTTAATAATTTATCGCATTACGGGGTTGTGAAGCTTGTTAAGTTAAACATTCGAAATCACGAATCGATCAACCTGGAAGAACGGGACTGCTGTTTCGTCCTGGTATTGGACTCATCAGTTACAATGCGCATCCACGACACCTGCACCTATCAGGATTCGAACCTAGGACCTTCGATCTTGTGCGAAAACCCCTAACCTCTGAGTCACTGAGCCGTTATCTAACGGTGTTAATGTCCAACTTCGATCAGTTTATGAAGTTGTGTAACTTAACAATCTTCACAACCCCGTAGTGTAATTACCTGTGCTCACTAGTGACTAGCTTCGTGAGGAATCTTCTCCGAGTTCTGGGGGGAAGTCGTGACCAGTGAAGTTCAACCTGTTCGGGTGTAGACAGTAACTACCGAAGACAGTGTATGAGGTTGCGCAACTCCATGAATTGAGTGAAGTCAGATATTAACACCGTTAAACACCAGCTCTGTGGTCCAGAGGTTAGGCGTTTGGGCACAACATCGAAGGTCCTGGGGTCAAGTCTTGTGAGGTGTTGGAGTCGTTCCACTGGATGCGCACTGCCAGTGGTAAGTCCCATACCAGGGCGAATCGGCCATCCAATGTTTCCAGGTTTCTCATGGTGATCTAACATTGATCGACTCATGATTTCAGATGTGTAATATTTTATTCTCACGAAGAAGTAGTTTACAGTAGGTCATGAAAAGTTAGAAACTTCATATTTCACTCATTATATTATTATTACAACTCCATCCAATGCTCAGCTTGTTTCAAATCGATTGGAATTATGAATTGATCTGTGGTAGACCACCTTTGGAAACTTGGAAGCGTTGGACTACTGCTTCATCCTGATATGGGACCAATCACCAGTGCCTATCCAAGACCCACAAGCATGGCTCGAAGCAGGGACCTTCATTCTTGTACACCAACGCTTAGCCTTTCGACCAGTGTGGGGGAATCCAACGGCAACCTCATTCATTGTCTTCAGTGGGTGACTGACGTCCAATACAGATAACTCCGCCGGTGGCGACGTCTTACTAGAACTTTAAGAATTCTCCTTAGATGCTAGTTATCAGTGAGCACAGGATAATTTCAGGTTTAAAATGATGGGCTAACATTGATCGATTAGTGATT